AAATGTTTAAGGGAGTCGATATGCTAATTACTCTGATGTAATTTGGCACCTGTTGGGGAGCTGGTTCCGGGACCACCCCCCCTAGATACTAAAATCTAAGGACATACAAGACACATATAAGATGGGGCAAAATCTGATTCGCAGCAAACGCACATCCTCCTGTATACTCTAAATGGTCTGAGTCCTCTCTACGTAATTGTGTTAGGCTATGTCCCAAGGGGAAATGTCTGCCTCCTGGCTGTCTTCCTCCTGCTTGCCTGCAGCTCTGGCTATAACACCCAACAGGGCCCTAATGGAGACTGGAGCCTCCTGTGGTGTTCTTCATTCCTCTTAGTGAGGTAATCATTGTTGTAAATGTACATTGTTGTTCTGTGATACTGTTTAGGAAGTGACCATAAGGAGAAACACCTGTGTGGTCGGTACAAATAAAATTGTTCTCAAATTATTATTCTTTTAAATCCAAAGTGGGTTGAATCTGTGGATGCTGAGATCCAACTATATATGCAGATCAGAACAGCGTATTGGAAAGCAGGGTGTGGTGGGGCATGCCTTTGATCACCACAGGTGGAAGGCAAAAGCAGGCAGATCTCTACGAGTTCAAGGCTAGTCTGGTCTACATAGTGAGTTCCAGGTCCTAAACAAAAAATTCACCCCAAAAATCCTCACATTGTAATTCAATAGTATGTTCAACTATGTAGGTCAACCGAAGAATAAAATGCTCTTATTGAAATGAGTGAATTAAAACTGTAACGCACTAGAAGAATCTACTGTAATAGAAGGCAGAGGCTACCTTTGCTGCTGTATTTAGTCCCTTCAGGAACATCCCTTTTCCTCCCCTCCACAGGCTATGAGCCATGTAGATAAAGCCACACTGGTTAGTGGACCGGAAGCCACAGGTCTCTAAGGGTACATCTGAGAGTTAGAAAGGAAGGGAAATAATTCACCCCGAAGGGAAGATTCATCCAGCCTAGGATCAGATTTCTCTAGCTATCCCAAACTGGTTCTCATCAGAATCTCAAAAAAGGTTTGCACTGAGCTATGCTTTGTAATGCTCTTGGTGTAACATTTCAGGGGCCCGACCATGCACACACAGGAAAACAGTCATATTGACAGTGCACTGTTCCACTGTGAGCTGACTTTGAGAACAGCTGCCAGGTCAGGCACAGGAACACTGCCAGCAGCCCCCAAATTCCCACAGTACCCATTTCTAGCATCTACCCGCAACCCCAAGTGGCCAGTCTCCTGGCCTCTCCTAGCACAGATTGCTTTACTTGGTTTCGAATCTTATCTAAGTGGAATCTGGTAGCCAAGACTCTCTGCGTCTGTGTGAGAACCCTCTATGGGAGCCTCTCTCCTTCTGAAGACAGCAGCAGCTTGCCACTGCCCAGCTCCACCCCCCACTAAACCCCCGTCAGGCTTCCTAACCTCAGGGAGCCGCAGGTCCTTCTCAAATTACTGCCCTGAAGGCAACAGACATTCAAATCTACGTTGGTTCTGAGGCCCAACCCTGGAGCCTTTCACTAGCCTTACAAGGCCCATCCAGGTTCACCCCTACATTGCCTAGGACTTTTTAAAAGCTGCCATAAAACAATTACCACCTCTTTCCACCAAGTCTTTCCCTCTCCCTGTCACCTTTCTGTCCCCTTCCTCCGAGAAGCACACCAGTCATTGGATTCAGATCCCACTGACCCAGGACAATCTGTCTCCAGAGTCTTTCCCTTGGTGTTTTCAGTCCCCTCTTGGGTAAGAAATCACCCTGGAATTTCTAGCCATTGTCTCCTCCGGTGGTACTGATGACAGGATACCAATGTTTTTGGTGAGTCATCTGTTTCACAGCTGTCTCAATATTTTTTCTTCCAATTAAAATCTTTTCATAAATATATTTTGATCGTGGTCCAGCCTCAGCTCTTTTCCCAGATATAACCAAGAACCACTGCCCCCCCCCCAACTTCAGCCTCTCCAACATCAGTGTGTCTGCCCTGGTTCTTCCATGAGAAGTGCTATGAATGGGTACCCAGGGAAATCCCGAGGAAGACCCAAACACCCTCCAGTGACCACAGGTTGCAATAAGCACCCCCTAAGGTTTTCAAGCATGTTTTATGTCTCTTCCCTGCCCCCATCCCACAGGAGAAAAGATCACCTTTTAAATGATGGCTTAGTTTATGCAAATACACTGCTATTCCCAAAGGAAGCAAGCATCCCTGTGCCTATGGTTACGAAAACACCATGGCAGTTTTTGAGAGCAGAGACCCAAATATCCCCTCTCGGTGGAGTGCATCTGAATGTGATTATCTAAATTCTAATGGCTTTGGTAATGTTATGTTTTCTATTTCCTCCAGTAGTGGGGAGGGGCCTTTCACTGCTTAATCTAGAAAGTGGAAGCTGTGGGCACTGTGCTTTGAGGTGTTGGAAAATAACCCCGTGATCAGGTCCAGACTGAGCCACAATGGGTGGAGTAAGGGAGGGGGAAGGGATCAGGTTGAAACCAGCATGGTAGGAAGACTGAAGAAGAAAAGCACTCGGTGAGGGGTCCTGATTAAGGAGGGTCGTTCCCAGGGCACTGGGACTTGGGAGTCCCCAGCTCCAGACAGCTCTCCTTTACCCAGAGCAGGCTTTTACTCCGGAGCTGGCAAATGCATTCTGCCTTCATCATCGGGTCTGTCTCAGGCCCTTTCGCAAGCACCATAACTGGGCTGGGTAAAAGGAATCCATTACGGTTTCCGATGAACAGCCCACCTTCCCCAGTATTCTGGCTGCTGCGGGAAAAGTCTCCCAGTTCTACCCTGGCACGTGTGTAAATACGGAAGGCTCTGATTTTGTTGCACAAGAAGCCCTGAGGGGAACTCAAACTGCACAGGTAGGGTGGGTCTGGGTTTGTTGTAGTGAACAGGAAAAAGGAGGGGAGGGAGGGAGAGAGGAAAGCAGGGGAGGGTGTGTTCCGAGCTCACTCATTCTGTCAAAAGTTTACCGACGAATCTCGTGTGTGTGGAGCACAGTACCAGATATATCGTGGTGACATGGGGCAAACCTCGGGACCTTCTTATCCTTCCCTTCCTCTCAAACAAAAGCTGTCCACAGTGGGGAAACCATCTTCCACCACTTATTCATCTCTTGTTACCTTACTGCAGTGGGCGTTTGCACTAGAACGCATTTCCAGTTTGAGAGGCTTCAATCCCACATTGAAGGAATGTGAGAACACACTGATCTGATGGAGCCATTGCTGGCAGGCAGGGAGGGCTTCTCAGCAGATGGGAATCGCTTCACTCGCATGAGAATCTGTGTCCCCTGAATGGAGAACAGGAGATAAGGGAGCCCCGGGGACTGAGCGGTCTAGAGAGGAGGCAGTTGAGCTGGATTCCAAGCCCTTAGATTATATACAAGCACGTCTTCGGTTCCTGTGATGAAATCGCTGCAACCGGCTACTTTATAGAGAAAGTGTGTTTACTGAGCTCGGTTTAGAAGGTACAAGGGTCTGAATCTGTTAGTGACTCCTCATTGGCGAAGTCCCAGGTCTGCACAGGGAATTACACAGACACATCTGGCCTCTCCTCCTTTTCTGAGAAATGCACAAGGACCTAATCACAGACAACCTCTTATAATTTAGCCACCTCCCCAAGGCCCCATGGGGGACACATTCAGCCAAATCCAAACAAAAACAACCGGGAAGGTTCAGCTCCACCTCAACAGTTTCAACACGGCGAGTGGTGAATTTACAGGCTAGAAGGTCGCGTGACACACGGTGAAGCTGAGATTCCTTAGTGGACCAAGCTCCTGAAATTTCAGGTGCTTGGAGCAGCACTGACCTGCAGGCAAAAATCCGAGCTCTTACCAACTAATTGACTCACCTCTCCAAGCCTCGGCTTTCTAATCTGTAAAATGGGACTAATGATGGGTGTGTGGTGTTATGGCATTGCTTCAGTCTGCCGAGAGAAGAGTTAAACAGACACAGGAACACAAGCGAGTAAGGGTAGAACATGGCCATCCCAGCAGGCAAAGGACACCACTTACCGAGCACCCAGAATATGCTGGGCATCAATCCAGTGCAGTCCACACCTGCTCTCCTTTAACCCTTTTGAAACCCCTGTGAGGGGAGCCAATATCGTTACTCTCATTTTGTAGATAAGAAAACAGAAGCACAGAGAGGTTAATAACTCACTTGGGATCACACAGCTAGAGAAGGGTTGGGCTTGAAAATGGCACACCACTCAATAAACTGTGGTTTGTGCTTGCTCTTAAATGCCGCTGCTCGCTGGTTTAAGTAGGAAAGGTAATTATTAGAGTGACATGGTATCAGCCCAGGGTGGTGGCACCTGCCTTCAACCCCAGCACTCAGCCTGAGGAGGCAGGAGGATTGCAAATTCACAGTGTTGACCTAGATCACAGGATGAGTTTCTGTCTTAGAAAACAAAGCAAGGAGGGAAAAAAATGATCTTGTATCACTTCTTTGAGTTTGTGTGTGAGCTCTATGTGTGTCTGTGTTCATGAGTGTGGATGGGCACGCTAGCGTATGTGAATGTATGTTGGAGGCCAGAGGGTGACAATAAGAGTCCTCCGCACTTGCTCTCCAACTTAGTTTTTTGAGATGGGCTCTTTTGGTGAACCTAGAGCTTGCTAATTTTTGCCAGGCTAGCTGGCCAGCAAGCTCCCAGGACTCCATATCTCCATTCCAACCTCCACCCCAATGTGCTGCCATGTCTGCTTTTTCAATGGGTGCTGAGGATCCAAATGCAAATTCTCACACTTGCAGAGCAAGTACTTTACCCAATGAGCCATTCCCCAGCCAGGGAGGGATTTTTATTTATGATGATCTCACCTGGATTTACCATTAACTTCAACGTTCTCCCACATATTTACACACACACACACACACACACACACACACACACGTACACCATATTCCCTTCTACTGAGAGCCAGGCTGGAGAGGGACTCTGAGTACAGGAAGGATGGGAAAGGACTCCTTTGGCCTCACCATCCTTTCTAACTGTTGCCAATACTAGGTGCCTGGTCTTGAACAGCCATGACGATGGAGGTGCTCCCCAAGGCCCTGGAGGTAGACGAGAAGTCTCCAGAGTCCAAGGACCTGCTGCCCAGCCAGACAGCCAGCTCCCTGTGCATCAGCTCCAGAAGTGAGTCTGTCTGGACCACCACCCCCAGGAGCAACTGGGAAATCTACCGCAAGCCCATCATCATCATGTCAGTGGGAGCTGCCATTCTGCTCTTTGGTGTGGCCATCACCTGTGTGGCCTACATCTTGGATGAGAACAATAAAGTTGTGCCCGCCCTCAAGATGATAGGCCCTGCCTTCCTGTCCTTGGGACTCATGATGCTGGTGTGTGGGCTGGTGTGGGTGCCCATCATCAAAAAGAAGCAGAAGCAAAGGCAGAAGTCCAACTTCTTCCAAAGCCTCAAGTTCTTCCTCCTGAACCGCTGATGGCAGCCTGACCAGAAGATCTGCTGACCAGCATCCAGCCTCCTAACCTTCTCTCTGGGTACCACAAAGCTGATCCAGGCAAACCCTCCTCTTGGCCCTGAGGGCAGGACAGAGCTCAGGGTCTCACCCTCACACAACCTAACAGTGTTGCTCTCTCGGATATTCTCAATATTCTCATCCCTGGCACCTACATTTAACCACCATCCAGCCCACTCTCTCTGACAAGGGCAGTGCATGCTGGGAAATTCTTTGGGGGTTGACTATGCTCCTAAGAAGAACTTCATGTTATAATTGTGTGTCTAAGCTGGATTCTACATCTGCATCCTTCTGGAACCGAAGCTGATCAAGGAGGGAAGGATGACTTCAGACCCACTGGGTTTGTCAGTCTTGGCTCCCTCCTTGGGTGAGACATTGACTAGCATTATAAGAGACAGGACAATTCTCATGTATTACACATTCCAAAATCTGGACAGGGATGGGGGATGGGGAAAAAAAAAACACTGTCCAGGGCAGATCATTCCTCTGGGCATTGTTCTAGAAGTTAGCTAGCCAAGGAAGTTCATTCCCAAATCCAAAGTATTGACACCAGGGGCAGGCTAAGCGGTGTCACAGTTTCCCCTCGACCCTCCAGTGCCCTTCTCACAGACTGCCTTCATCTTGGCTGTTAGTCAAGAACAAATGCTCCTTGTTCTAACTCCTTCCCCCACCCCACCTCTGTCTCTATGCATCACTAGAATAGAAGGATGGAAGGGCACAGATGGTCATCTCTTCCTCTCAATCAAGACCTAACCTGAGATGTCATGTCCATGTCCAAATGTTCCATGGGTTTCTAGAGACAGATTCACCAAAGAAGATCCCAACCTCTGTCATCCCTGCTCCTCCCACACCAAACAAGCAAGTGTTCATTGAATTTCCTTCTCTGGGCCTAGGTTGGGAACAGCCAGACCCAGTCCCTGATCTCATCTTATTTCCAAAAGTGAGAGAGAGAGAGGGACATGGCCAAGCCAATTGGCAATACCACATGCTGAGTTCCTAGGGTGACTATGGGAACACATGGATCTAACATAAATTTACAGGAAGTCAGAGAGATTTCTGGAGACCAGGCTCATCCCTCTTGAAGACAAAGGGAAAATACATGTTAGGAAAGGACAAGGTATGTAAGGAGGCAGCAACTACCTTGCATGTGAAAAAGCTGAGGGAAAGAGACCCCGTGGACTTAGGATTCTGTGTAGCTCTTGGATGCTGTCACATCCTCTCATCTACTTCCCTCCTGCTTCCCCAAGTGCCTTATATCCAGCTTCTCCTTGGTACATTGCAAACTCCTGGGGTCTATAGAGACTGGGAGAGGCATCTCCAGAGGGGCCACCAAGTAGATACAACCCAAGAGGTAAGTGCCCTCAAAACTTCTTCTTACAGACACTAAGAAGCCTGTAGGTGCCCATAACAGATCCCCCAAGCTGTACAAGTCTAGGCCAGAGACCAGGGGAAAGCTCCTGATAACAGGATGAATGACAAGAGATGCATTAGTTCCAGTTGACTCCCTTCATCCCTCAATCTTCAGGCATTTGGGATCACCGTGGCAACCTTCCTCCAACAGGTCTCCAGATGTCTCAATCATTCACAGTACTTCCATAGGCAGAGTCAGAATCCGTCTTTGTTTCTGTTGCCTTGTATTTTTTTCATGATGTCACACACACACACACACACACACACACACACACACACACACACACACCAACTCCTTAAAGAGTCAGAGTTTGAGGAGCCTCTGGCCTTTCAAGGCTCACTTAAGATGGTCATGTCCTGCCGGGCGGTGGTGGCGCACGCCTTTAATCCCAGCACTCGGGAGGCAGAGCCAGGTGGATCTCTGTGAGTTCGAGGCCAGCCTGGTCTACAGCGCGAGATCTAGGAAAGGCACAAAGCTACACAGAGAAACCCTGTCTCGAAAAACCAAAAAAAAAAAAAAAAAAAAGATGGTCATGTCCTTCATTAAGACTCATACCAGTGAGCCCAAGGCCTCCAGTACACCCATCCCCAGCACGCAGGCAGGTCAGGACCAAACCTAGGGTTATTGCAATGCTGCCACTAATGTGAGTGCTAGTGCCTCAGTGATGGGCTTGTAGATCACGTTCCTTTCTCCTGTCATGGGAGGTCAGCCCTGTGATGAAGCCTCTCCTTCCTTGGTGCTTTCATGTAAGGGAGCACACAGGTGAGCTCACAGCCCGCTCACTTGGAGTCCATACCCCCCACACCTCATTGTCTGGGTACAGTTGTGAGAGGAGGGTCTTTGCAAACATCACTGTCACGTATGTCTCAATGGAAGGGAGTTTGGGGATAATCATGATGCCAGGAAAGCTTCAAGTTCTAGACATCTTTTGCAGCCACATCAGTACCTGCCTCCCAACCCCACCCCTCAAGCTAAGTCTTCAGTAGACAGAAACAAAGAAGAACCTTTGAGAAAAAAAAATTCCCAAATATTGGTTACCTCCTCCTACTGGGCTCCCCACATGAGTGAGGGCCAGGAAATGGGCTGAATCACCCCAAAAGCAGCGCATCTTGGAGCTTTTTGCCAAAGACCATTGCCTCGTGAAAGCCTAAGGTGGGGACAGTCTGTGATGCCACATTTCTGTAACAAAGCATCCTTGGCAGTGACTTAGATCATCTCAGTGGTCAGAAGACAGGACCAACTTCAACAGCACCATCTCACCAGAACGTATTACCTGCTCCTGTAGCTATTCTGTTTTGGAGAATTTAATCTAATACGAAGCCTAAGGAAATCAGTGTCATGTTGAATTGTATTCTATTTAACAGTGTCTGACATGTTCATCCTGTTTTACCAGGCATTTGAAGACTGTACCCACAAACCCCCCTTCCTCTAAAATGTTCCCCCATTGCCACATTTCCTCTCCCAAGGAGGATGTCAGGGAGAATAGAGACAGAGTGGGTTTCATGCATGGCTCCTAAGGTAACTCTGAGGTGATGGTGGTGCAGAGGGATCCCACAAGCCCAGTATTGAGACCCAAAACTTGACCTGATGACATTACATTCTACAATGAATTTGTGGTCTAGATGAGGCAGGCAGATACCAGGTCCTAGAAAGATGCTCCAAATACAAATCAAAGTAGAAAATGATCTACTGGGGGCTTACTTTCATCTCCCATCCCAGAAGCCTATCTGTGCTTAGCCTATATGAGGATAGCTGTTCATGCCCAAGACTTTCTCCTGAGACTCAGTGGCAGCCTCAGAGAATCTGCTGGCCTAAGCAGGAGCTGTCACTCTGTAACCAGGTTCCTCAGGTCTCCAGCAAAGGACCATATATCTGAGGGACTATGCTCAGTTTTCCTGCAACCTGCAGGTACATACAAGTGGAACCCCAGGCCACCTCACAGTCCAGGTCTTCTAGGTTAAGGGTTCACTAAAGGGTACCCCAGGATGAGGCCATCCCCCATTGTTTGGTGGGTTCCTCTGGAAAAGCCACTAAAGTGACTGCAAAAAAGAAGGAAGAGCCATTATCAATGGTCCTTATCAATCAGTCACACGTACTAAGTTGGGATTGTCTTCAATAAATAACAAAATGCCAGTGGGGACTGTGCTCTTTTCCTGGGATGCATGGGAAGTGTGTTTCCAGCCATAGCTACATCACTCACTCCTCAGGCTCTGGCCTCCTTTTCTCTGCTCCTTTCTTCAGACATCATCTCTGACATTCCAATTACCCAAACCCACAACAGACATCAGAACCTGGATGATATAACAAAGGCATTAGCTCTGACTTTCAGAAAGCAATCAGGCTAATCTTCAGAGAAGAGAGACAAGGGAATCTTTGGGTGTGATACAGTATGATCATGGTGGGGGGACTCTTCAGGTGTGATACAGTATCATCATGGTGGGGGGACTCTTCAGGTGTGATCCAGTATCATCATGGTGGCAGTGGGGGAGACTCTTCAGGTGTGATACAGTATCATCATGGTGGCAGTGGGGGAGGGACTCTTCAGGTGTGATACAGTATGATCACGGTGGTGGGGACTCTTCAGGTGTGATACAGTATGATCATGGTGGGGGGACTCTTCAGGTGTGATACAGTATGATCATGGTGGGGGGACTCTTCAGGTGTGATACAGTATGATCACGGTGTGGGGAATCTTCAGGTGTGATACAGTATGATCATGGTGGGGGGACTCTTCAGGTGTGATACAGTATGATCATGGTGGGGGGACTCTTCAGGTGTGATACAGTATGATCATGGTGGGGGGACTCTTCAGGTGTGATACAGTATGATCATGGTGGGGGGACTCTTCAGGTATGATACAGTATGATCACGGTGGGGGGAATCTTCAGGTGTGATACAGTATGATCATGGTGGGGGGAATCTTCAGGTGTGATACAGTATGATCATGGTGGGGGGAATCTTCAGGTGTAATACAGTATGATCATGGTGGGGGGACTCTTCAGGTGTGATACAGTATGATCACGGTGGGGGGAATCTTCAGGTGTGATACAGTATGATCACGGTGGGGGGAATCTTCAGGTGTGATACAGTATGATCATGGTGGGGGGACTCTTCAGGTGTGATACAGTATGATCGTGGTGGGGGGACTCTTCAGGTGTGATACAGTATCATCATGGTGGGAGGAATTAGGAATGCTCAGATGATGGTACCCAAGCCAGCCTAACCCCAACCTGCCTCTCCAGGCCTCTGAAATACAGATAGGCCAGGTTTTCACACCAGACTCAGGGAGAGGAGGCCCAGGCAAGAGAAAAGAGGGGCTGCTCACTGGCTGGTAGGAGAAGGTATCCCCCACCCTGACCTCTGGTCCTGTTCTATTTTGCAGTCTTGCCTTTAAAATGTGGCAGGCACATATTTGTAAAATACGCCTGGGGTTAAGGGATCAAGGGTTCCCCACACTTTTCCTGCTTGTCTACACTGTTTGGAGATCCAAACTTCAACAAATAGCACTGTGGTTCTGCCCTTTTCTGGAACCTTTCCTTCCCCAATCTCCACCTTTTCTTTGCCCTAAACACTTCTCTAGGACTAGAGAGATGGCTCAGTAGTTAAGAGCACTGGCTGCTCTTTGAAAATCCAATCCCCAGTACCCACATGGTGACTCACAACCATCTGTAACTCTAGCCAGGGGATCCAATGCCCTCTTCTGGCCTCTGTGGGCATTGTATGCAGACATACATGCAGGTAAAACACCCATACACATAAAATAAAATAAAAATAAATCTTAAGAAAAATAAACAGTTCTCTGAATGACTGCCATGGCAATGGTTTTATTTTGGCTCTCTGGAAGGGTGACTTCCCAAAACGTCCCCAAGCATCTAATTCCTAGTGGACTGTTAACTTGTTACTGTGGTTGTTAAGACGTATTATCTTGCAGCTCTGGAGGTCAGAAATCCAAAATGGATCTCAGAGGGCTACAGCAAAGCATAGTGAGGACCTCCATTCCCTCTGGAGGATCCAGGAAAGAATCCATCTCCTGCTTTATGCAGCTTGTATCAGCTGTCTGTGTTCCCATTTGTACTTCTTCTATCTCCAGGGAGAGGAACTTGAAGGACTTGGCCTCTTATGTCATCACGTCTGCTCTGACCCTCTTTTCCTCTCTCTTCCTTATACAGACCTTTGTTCTGGCCTTACTTAGGCCTCTTCTATTGAAACCCTATGTTGGATCCACAGGGATAGCTCAGGAAAAACTCTCAAGTTCAAGCTCTTGGTCCTAGTTGGCTAATACTTCTGTGACAAAAATCCCACAGAGGAGATGGCTTAGACAACAGACGTTTGTTCTTGTGGCTGTGGAAGCTGGAAGGTGGAGGCCAAGGCATCAGAGATGGTTTCTTTTAAGGCCAGTGTCCTTGGCTGGCAGTTGTCATCTCCTTTCTGTGTCCCCATGTGCTCCCTCATCCACGCAGATCTGTGTCCTAATCTCATACCATTACAGGGCCACCAGCCATGTTTGACCAGAGCTACCCACATGACCTCCTTTAACATGATTACCTCTATAAAGACCTTGTCTCGAATAGAGCCCCATCCTGGGGACAGGGATGTTAACACGTGCATTGGGTAGGGATACCATCATTCCATCATTATCATTGTTTAACCTAGCATATAAAATAACGAGTTTCTTCTTGGCGTGGTCATGAAGCCCTATGAAGACGCATTAAAGATAGGGCCATGATTTTAAGAGGGAGCAAGGAGGCAGCACAATACATGGGAAGGATTGAAGGGAGGAAAGGAAAAGGGGTAAATGACATAAATACATTTTAATTTAAAAAAGAAAAAAATTAAAGTAGTCTAATATTACTGAACATATGGCATGATATCATGTGCAGGCTGGGTATATAGACCCTGGAGACAGCCTACACCTCCTTCCGGGGCTTTCCCAGTTTCCTGATCTTGGCCAAACTACTTTTCCATGACCCTTATCTTCACAACTGTACACTAGTTAATAATTTTTCAAAAGTGCTTGCCTCCTTTGGCACATTACTTGGGAAAGTCCACAAAAGGCTCATGCGTCACACTGAATAAAGTTAGCTGTTAATGATACAAAAAAAAAAAAAAAAATGCCCACAGCTTCCAGACAAGACTGGAATGGTCTACATGATTTTGTATCAGAAAAAAAATGTTGTCTTTGCAAGTACTTATGAGCTGATTGGAAGTAAAGAATTTGGGGAAAGGGATGGTCACTGTGGACTATGTTCTTGGGCCAATGGGAGCTTGTCAGAGCAAGTGTTCTCTCCCTCATGCCTGTCTCCTCCCTCCCCAGTGCCTGACAGCACCTCGCTAGTTACCACCACCCTGCCTTCTGTAATATCCCTTAAAGGTCCATTGCTTTAGGGCTGAGACAACTCCGCCCGTTACTCCTCTCTGTAGTGAGGAGGAGAGCAGCAGTGCAGGTAGACGGATGCTGTAGAGCCTCTTGCATCGTGCTGTGACCGTGTTCTGAAAAGCAGATGGCTCTGCAGCCTGGACCTTTAAACTCGCATCTTTCTGTTGTTGTCTGTCACCGCACGGAACCACCATGGGCAAGAAGCCCTAGTCTCTGTGGTCACGATGCCCTATGAAGAGCCATCTGTGAACTTGAAATGAACAACTGTATCGAGTGGTTAAGATGCTGAGGCTTACTTGTTGCAGCAGCTGGCTTTGCCCCACTCACAAATGACTTAACTGTCATTGTCACTGTTTGTGGGAGCCATGCAGTCTCTTTCTGATTACCTAGTTTCCTATCTGTCTCCTCCCTGTGACCTGTTCTCTTATAATCCATGCTACATGCACCAGGGTAAACTTCTCCCCCAATTTTACCCATGTATGTATTGTGTGTGTGTGTGTGTGTGTGTGTGTGTGTGTGTGTGTGTGTGTGTGTGTGTGTGATAGGCTCTCCTTAAGGAGGCTAGGCTGGGCTCAAACTCACGGTGTGCTTGCCTCAGTCTCCTAAACGCCAGGTTTGCAGGTGGGTAAAAACCACACCTGGCACCATCATTCCATCATTACCATTGTTTAACCTCACATATAAAATAATGAGTTTCTCCTTGACGTTTTCACATGTGCATATCATTGTACATTACTCACACAGGTCCTCTTTCTTTGTCAAATCCTTCCATGGTTCCTTGACCTGTTGTGAGGGTCTGAGCTCCCCATTCCACTCTTGAGTCCATATCTCCTGCCACCAACTTCCTGGCATTAAGCCAGGCCCTATCCCCACTGTAGTTGTTTGAATAGGAATAGATGAGCTCCCCTCCCCATAGGCTCATGTATTTGAATTCTTGCTCATTAGGGAGTGGCACTACTTGAGAGGGATTAGTAGGTATGGCCTTGTCGGATGAAGTGTGTCATTGGGGGTGGGTGGGCTTTGGGGTTTCAAGTGCTCAAACCAGGCCCAATGTCTCTCCCTGCTGCCTGCCAATCTGAATGTCAATCTTATCTATCACCCCAGCACCATGTCTGTCTGCATTCAACCATGCTTCCTGCCATGATGACAGTGGACTAACCCTCTGAAACTGTAAGCAAGCCCAAATTAAATGCTTTCCTTTATAAGAGTTGCCATGGTGGGACTGGAGAGATGTCTCAGAGGGTAAGAGCATTAGCTGCTCTTCCGGAGGTCCTAAGTTCAGTACCCAGCAACCACATGGTGGCTCACAACCATCCATAATGAGATCTGGTGCCCTCTACTGGCATGCAGGCATATATGCAGACAGAACACTGTATAAGTAATAAATGAATAAATCTTTAAAAAAAAAAAAAAAGAGTTGCCATGGTCATGGTGTCTCTTCACAGCAATAGAACACTGACTAAAACAGCCACCAAACTTCATTCAGATCCTCACTCGGTGCTCAGTACTCCTTGCTCCATTCTGTTCCAGCCCTTGTTCGGCCTACTCTGTCCATAACAGTCACCACTTCTCACACAGCTCATCTAGCTCCTCCCCACTCGCCCTTCTCCTTTCTTCCTGTTGTACTTTCTCCCTCTAAACTTCCTGTGCTCATTCCTTAGCCACTTACTTGGTGAGAAACAGTTATTTCCCATGGGTAAGTGGTAGGCTGTGGTGCTAAACAGGCCTGGATTCAAAACCTGATGCTACCAGCTAC